CCTGTTGTGTCCTCATAGCCATCACCCATTGTCTGTCGTGTCCTCATAACCATCACCCATTGTCTGTTGGGTCCTCATAACCATCACCCATTGTCTCTTGTGTCCTCATAACCATCACCTGTTGTCTGTTGTCCTCATAACCATCACCCATTGTCTGTTGTGTCCTCATAACCATCACCCATTGTCTGTTGTGTCCTCATAACCATCACCCATTGTCTGTTGTGTCCTCATAACCATCACCCATTGTTGTGTCCTCATAACCATCACCTGTTGTTTGTGTCCTCATAACCATCTCCCATTGTCTGTTGCATCCTCATAACCATCACATGTTGTCTGTGTCCTCATAACCATCACCTGTTGTCTGTTGTGTCCTCATAACCATCACCTGCTGTCTGTTGTGTCATCATAACCACCCATTGTCTGTTGTGTCCTCATAACCATCGCCCATTGTCTGTTGTGTCCTCATAACCATCACCTGTTGTGTCCTCATAACCATCACCTGTTGTCTTTTGTGTCCTCATAACCATCACCTGTTGTCTGTTGTCCTCATAACCATCTGTTGTGTCCTCATAACCATCACCCATTGTCTGTTGTGTCCTCATAACCATCACCTGTTGTCTGTTGTGTCCTCGTAACCACCTGTTGTCTGTTGTGTCCTCATAACCATCACCCATTGTCTGTTGTGTCCTCATAACCATTACCCATTGTCTGTTGTGTCCTCATAGCCATCACTCATTACCTGTTGTGTCCTCATAGCCATTACCTGTTGTGTCCTCATAGCCATTACCTGTTGTGTCCTCATAGCCATTACCTGTTGTGTCCTCATAGCCATTACCTGTTGTGTCCTCATAGCCATTACCTGTTGTGTCCTCATAGCCATCACTCATTACCTGTTGTGTCCTCATAGCCATTACCTGTTGTGTCCTCATAGCCATTACCTGTTGTGTCCTCATAGCCATCACTCATTACCTGTTGTGTCCTCATAGCCATTACCTGTTGTGTCCTCATAGCCATTACCTGTTGTGTCCTCATAGCCATCACCTGTACATCTGTTGTGCATAATTAATAACTTACAGTACATCAACTTGATGTACTATAGTTGCATCTTTGTGTGCTGATTGTGCTATCATATATTGTGTGTCATTTTGTATATTTATGGAATGTCATTACTGCATACACTAATACAGTACTGCATTTTATAAATTTTATATTTTAATTTGACTCCCCGTTCATAAAAATGTTTGCTGCTAATATACATCTTGGCTGTTTTTCAGATGACTGCACATGTTAAGGCACCAGGCTATACTGTTCATCAGCACGAATGGATTCGAAGGCCATGATAAGTCATGGTATTAGTGCACGTGACTCCAACTTGCTTTCTGTAAACCTCTGGGATTCCCCATTTTCTTTATCCCCAACAAGGAAGTCATAGGATGGGAGGTGAGGGCCAGTCAGCAGATGGCCCTCTCACTCTGCTGTGATATGGGCTGGTGCTGATGTGTTCCTGCCTTGCCTCAAGAGAACGTTCCTCTCTTATCTGTTGAGTAACAGATTATCAATGCACAGCAATGGGCATAGCTCCTCTCTTAAGTGGTAAGTGTATCTTATAATCCTGCATATTTTTTTGAAACTAGTTTAACTTATATGTCTTCTCTCTTAAGTGGTAAGTGTACTTTATAATGCTGCATATCTTTCAAAATTAGTTTAAATTATAAGATATTTTTTCTCCAGACTACATTACACTATCTGTGTACTCACACCTGCTGTGGCACAGAATAAAAACGAAGCTTGAGAAAGAATGAGTGTTGTACACAATTTGTAATAACACAATTGCAAACAAACTGAGGAATGGGTAGGGGTTGAAGCCATGGTGAGAGAGTTGTAAAACTCCAGGAAAGCTGGCCCACTGGTTTACACACTGGCCTGGAGTTTTACGACTCGCTCACCATGGCTTCGACTCCCATCCATTTCGTGGTTTGTTATACACAGATTTAGTTTCAAATATTAATTTATGTAGCCTGGAACCTAACCTGCTGTATAAGCAGGGCACTCCTGTAATTAGTGAATCAATTTTAAATAATAAGACATACTTTTAAAAATTGTACCATTGTTCATTTAGCCACCTTTCTTATTGTACATATCATTTAGTTAATTGCATAAAAATCCTGCTTAATAGTTTGTCTAATTCTTAAGCAGTTTTTAAGCATTAGGATTAGTCTGCCCAAAATGCATTAAATGCCAATGACTTTCTTTTTGTACCTAACAGTGTTATACAGTGGACCCCCGCATAACGATCACCTCCGAATGTGACCAATTATGTAAGTGTATTTATGTAAGTGCGTTTGTACGTGTATGTTTGGGGGTCTGAAATGGACTAATCTACTTCAGAATATTCCTTATGGGAACAAATTCGGTCAGTACTGGCACCTGAACATACTTCTGGAGTGAAAAAAAATCGTTAACCGGGGGTCCACTGTATTACATGTAAACTACATTACTTTTGTACAGCTTTTTTTTATACTGGCCGTCTCTCACTGAGACAGGTGTTAGTTAACCCTTTCAGGGTCTAGAGCCCCCGCCCCTAAACTTGTTCTCAGGGTCGAAAATTTTTCGAAAAAAAAAAAAAAATTCTTATGAAATGATAGGGGATCTTTTCCCAATGATAATGACACCAAAAGTATGAAATTTGATGGTAAACTTACGGAATTATATCTCGCAAAGTTAGTCTAAAAGAGTGACGCCACGTCTCCCCCAATTTGAGCCCTTTTTGGCCAAAATGCCAATGCACCAGGCGTCAAAAATCATGTTATTTCATTAGAACTCCATTCGTTCTATCGTGAGTCAAAAAAAACAGCAGTTACTGTTTTCAATACCCTTTTCAGGGTCAGAAATTGACAATTCGTAAATACCAGAAAAATTTCAAAAGATGCAATTTTCAAAATAGGGTCTAGAAAAAACAACAGACTTTCCCTGGCACTAAATAAATTTTCTCTGTTGTTGTCATGCCCCCGGGGCCCCTCTTACATTTCTTTGTTTCCATATGAACATTTATTCTCGAAAAAAAAATAGATTAGTTATGCGACTATGTCATTAGTGTAAAAATGGTATAAATAATATCAGCACACTTGTGAAAGAATATTAGACTAACTAGTTGACGTATATTGGAAGTGTGGCATGATTTGTTTACTTTTGAACATTGGCAAAAATCAAACATTTATGCTACTTTGAGCTCAGTTTCAAGGTACTTTTCATTGTTAAACTAATCAAAATCATCTCATTTTCTGTAACCTGTCTTCCATTCTATAAAATGACACAAAGAAAATGAGAATACAACCATAAATACCATACAAAAATACACTGCAAAGTCGCTGTTTTAAACAAAAAACACGGAGTTTTTTTTTTTCTCATTATGCACTGTGTGCTGCAGGATTTCTTTTTATACTATGCACACTGACCACACAGACCCATTCTTTCATATGTAGGCCTACCAGCTTTCTCCCGCTGGATTTGAAGGCATGCTAGTACGGCACCAACCCTGGCATGCAAGCCATACTAGTACGACACTGACCCTGAAAGGGTTAAGTAAATACTGTCTAACAAGTTTTAATTTGATTTTACTTACCATAAGCAGTCAATATTTAATGAATTATGGATAGATTTGCATAAGAATTTCATGCACAATAAAAAAGAAAAGAATACTTTAAGAATTTATTTATATCACAGGAACAACAATAAATGCACGTGAAAAGGCTTATTTTATTTGAATCAAATTATTAAAGAAAAACTCATTTTTTGTTAGTCCGTGAAGTAAAAACGGATACTGTAGCAGTTTTATAGTGTTGCCCCAAACGTTGTTTTAAATACACAAACAACCCGCACACAGGAGAGAGGAGCTTGTGACAATGTTTCAGTCCGACTTGGACTACTTACAAGACACAGACTTACGATGGTTCCTCGGGATACGAACTTAATTCGCTCCAGAAGGCTGTTCGAGTGCTGATACCAAATGAATTTGTTCCCATAAGGAATAATGTAAATTAGATTAATCCGTTTCAGATCCTCAAAATATACTTACAAAAGCACTTACGTAAATACACTTATTTAATTGTTCGAGCTTTAAGCTGTTCGTATCCCGAGGTACCACTGTATATGTAAAGAGTACCATATTTTACAGCAAACCTTATTTGGGGAAAAAATAGTATCTTCAATGCCATAAAATACAGTAATTATTATTTACAATTTCTTTACATACAAATACCATGTTATTAAGTATTCTTTAAATACAGATTAGGTGGAGATATGCGCAGTTAGACGAAAATTGCAAGAGCAACAAGAGAGCAGGATCTTGCACATGCATACTGGAGAATCATGCTGCAACACACTGACTCATTCCATTGTTAGATATGTAAGTATATTTATTTCTGGAAACTAAAATAATCAACAAACAAGCAAACAGTTAGTAGAGACTGGCTAGTAGATGACAAACTTGGAATGCAAGTTACCTCTTGATGGGCGATCAAGACTATTAAGTCTATATATTTTATCAAGTGGTATTTATTATAAAACATCTAGTAAAAAAGATTCACTATTACATTTATGTTTATTTCATCTAGAAAACAAAAAGGCAATATCTCATTCTGTACCAAGTAACTTTTTCACCAATTAAAAATTTATCAGCTCTAGATTCCTAAAACTCTAAATTTAAAATATTTGTATAAGAAATCACAACAGCATTAGTAAATTTTTTTTTGGGGTGTTAAAAGCTCCGTACATCGTCAGACTTAATATTTAGTTTGCTTGGAAAAAACACAATGCAACATGGGTTTGTAAAAAATATATTACTATTATTTTTTTCAAGGGGAATGAGGTGCCTTGATGCTAGTGAAAAGCTCTTGATCCATGGAATTGGAGCTACCCTCCCCTTCCTTGGATTAAATGTAATTGATTTAGTGCTTCCCCACGAGTCGAATAATAGTATTATCCCTGTTTTGATCAATTACCACATGTCGTCTGGCACTCCTGGAGTGTTTCGAATCTGTTGCGGTTTCCACCACAGCCGCCATACACAAACTCCTTACACTGGCGACTTGCTGAATTGTATGTGAACTTAATAAAATATCCAAAGCAGTGTCCTGAATCTGCCTTCAAGAAGCACCGCTGTGGTTTTGTGCTGCCTGGAAATAAGATTAATACCATTATAATCAAGTGGAATGTGGGTGCTCCTTGACTTAAAATATTTCAACTTTATGAAGGTTGAACTTAAGATAATTACCCAGTATGAAAGCGGCAAGTCCATAACTTTTATTTGTTTATTTACTTTTCAATACTGGTATTTAGTTACAGTAATTATTTGTTTATTTACTTATACAGTGGTAGTAGTTATATTTTACTTATTTATTTAGCGTATATTCATAGCTGACTTGTGATATTTTCAGCTTATGATGGGTTCGTTGGAATGTAACTCCATTGTAAGCCACGGAGCACCTGTATATAGACTGCATTGTTTTACATTTATTTCCTTTCATACTGAGTTATTAAATACAGTGGACCCCCGCTTAACAATCACCTCCCAGTGTGACCAATTATGACTTAAGAAATCGTAATGACACGATTGCAAACGTGTCATTACGATTTCTTAAGTCATGTTGACGGCAGTGAAGGGATGAGCTAGGTTAGTCTGGTCCACGGCTAGCTGAGATTTCGTCTGTAAAAACTTTGCATTTGTGGTCACAGAGGTGCCTGTGCTAACCTTCCTATGGTGTAGAAATATACCTAGTTGGATGAATCTTATTTGGCTAGTGGTCTAGTGGCTACGCGAGGGCTGGAGTTTTGAGACTTTGGACGCGGGTTCAAATCCCGGGCCGAGTGGGTATGGTTAGACCAATTATGCAAGCGTATTGATGTAAGTGCGTTTGAAACGTGTTATGTTTGGGGGATCTGAAGTGGACAAATCTACTTCACAATATTCCTTATGGGAACAAATTCGGTCAGTACTGGCACCTGAACATACTTCTGGAATGAAAAAATATCGTTAACTGGGGGTCCACTGTACAATTATTATATTCACAACACTGTTTTTGCACAAGTTTAATAAAATGCAAATACAAACGTTTTGTGTTCGTTCGAGTGGTCTGGGCGGGCTGTTGGGTGGAGAGTGGTGTGGGCGGCACGATGCTTCGCACTCCGCTTGGGAGTGATACAAGTTCTTGGTTCCTCCACATCCACCGTAAATAATGTTCTCACAATTCTGGGTGTCGCTGTGGAATTAAAAAAAAAAATAATAACTTTCAAGTCATGAATATTTTCCAAATTTATCAACTATAATATTCATGGAGCTCTAAAGCCTGTAGGGGCCATACTGCCAACTTGGAGTGAAGGAAGTAATCAGGTCTGATCCCAGGGAAGGAAAAGGTAGATTCGGTTTTCCTGGATAAGAGCTCTGACTCCCCCCCAGTATCAATGCATGGCCTCGTGAAGGGTTAATTAAACTCATTAAGAGCCAGAATGAATTAATGAAATAAAGTGGGCCTCACTTTACAGCACTGAATTTTATGGGATTTCAATAATGCAGCAGTTTTCAATTATACCATTCTTCATTTATTCAGACTTCCTACAATAAATATATTCACCACTCACTATAAGCTAATGATGAAAATACTTTAAGGTATGTAGTGTATGTATTGTATATGCATTATTTTAGGCCTAGCTCTGTTGCTCATTTAATACGTATATGATAGTGTAAACATGTTAGCAGGCTTTTATATGCACTTCATGGCAATTTTTCTTTTACCAGCAGTTATCCTGAACCTAACTGCTGAGGGCAGTACTACGTGACTGCATATGGATGGATGGGTGGGAATGTTACAGTCCTGGAGGTGGGCAGTACAGTGCCTGCACTCTGAAGGATGGGTGGGGATGTTACAGTCCTGGAGGTGGGCAGTACAGTGCCTGCATCTGAGGATGGGTGGATGTTACAGTCCTGGAGGTTGGGAAGATAAGTACAGATGCCTGCACACTGAAGGATGGGTGGGGATGTTACAGTCCTGGAGGTGGGCAGTACAGTGCCTGCACTCTGAAGGATGGGTGGGGATGTTACAGTCCTGGAGGTGGGAAGTACAGTGCCTGCACACTGAAGGATGGTTGGGATGTTACGTCCTGGAGGTGGAAGTACAGTTGCCTGCACTCTGAGGTATGGGTGGGGATGTTACAGTCTGGAGGTGGGCAAGTTACAGTGCCTGCAATGAAGGATGGGTGGGGATGTTACAGTCCTGGAGGTGGCAGGACCAGTGCCTGCACTTGAAGGTATGGGTGGGGATGTTACAGTCCTGGAGGTAGGAAGTACAGTGCCTGCACTATGAAGGATGGGTGGTGATGTTACAGTCCTGGAGGTAGGAAGTACAGTGCCTGCACACTGAAAGGATGGGTGTGGATGTTACAGTCCTGGAGGTGGGAAGTACAGTGCCAGCATCTGAAGGGATGGGTGGGGATGTTACAGTCCTGGAGGTGGGAAAGTACAGTGCCTGCTCACTGAAGGATGGGTGGGGATGTTACATTCCTGGAGGTGGGAGTACAGTTGCCTGCACACTGAAGGATGGGTGGGGAGTTACAGTCTTGGAGGTGGGAAGTACAGTGACTGCACTCTGATGGATGGTGGGGTTGTTACAGTCCTGGAGGTGGCAGTTTCAGTGCCTGCACTCTGAAGGATGGCGTGGGGTGTTACCAGTCATGGAGGTGGCAAGTACAGTGCCTGCACTTATGAAGGAATGGGTGGGGATGTTACAGTCCTGGAGACAGGTGGGCAGTACAGTGCCTGCACTTGAAGGATGGGTGGGGATGTTACAGTTTGGAGGGTGGGCAGTATTGTGCCTTGCACTTCTGAAGGATGGGTGGGGATGTTACAGTTCCTGGAGGTGGGCAGTACAGTGCCTGCACCTCTGAAGGATGGCAGTGGGGTTGTTACAGTCTGGAGGTGGCAGTACAGTGCCTGCACTCTGAAGGATGGGTGGGGATGTTTACAGTCCGGAGGTGGGCGTTACAGTGCCTGCACTTGAAAGGATGGGTGGGGATGTTACAGGTCTTCCTGGAGAGGGGTAGTACAGTGCCAGCACTCTGAAGGATGGGTGGGGTTGTTACAGTTCCTGGACGGTGGGAAGTACAGTGCTGCACATGAAGGTGGGTGGGGAATGTTCAGTCCTGGAGGTGGGAAGTACGTGCCAGCCTCTGAAGGATGGGTGTGGTTGTTTGTTATAGTCCGGAGGTGGAAGTTACAGTGCCTGCACACACTGAAGGATGGGTGGGGATGTTACAGTCCTGGAGGTGGGCAGTACAGTGCCTGCACACTGAAGGATGGGTGGGGATGTTACAGTCCTGGAGGGGGCTGGGCCATACAGTGCCTGCACACTGAAGGATGGGTGGGGATGTACAGTCTGGAGGGTGGGCAAGTACAGTAGCCTGCACAACTTGAAAGGATGGGTGGGATGTTACAGTCCTGGGAGAGTGGGCAGTACAGTGCTGCACCTGAAGGATGGGGTGGGGCATTGTTACAGTCCTGGGCGTGGGGCAGTACAGTGCCTGCACACTGAAGGATGGGTGGGGATGTTACAGTCCTGGAGGTGGGAAGTACAGTGCCAGCACACTGAAGGATGGGTGGGGATGTTACTGTCTGGAGGTGGGAAGTACAGTGCCTGCACACTGAGGATGGGTGGGGAAGTTACAGTCTGGAGGTGGGGAAGTACAGTGCCGCACACTGAAGGATGGGTGGGGGTGATACAGTCCTGGAGTTGGAGTACAGTACCTGCACATGATAGGAATGGGTGGGTTGTTACAGTCCTGGAGGTGGGAAGTACAGTGCCAGCACACTGAAGGATGGGTGGGGATGTTATAGTCCTGGAGGTGGGAAGTACAGTGCCTGCACTCTGAAGGATGGGTGGGGATGTTACAGTCCTGGAGGTGGGAAGTACAGTGCCAGCACACTGAAGGATGGGTGGGGATGTTACAGTCCTGGAGGTGGGAAGTACAGTGCCAGCCACCACTGAGGATGGGGTGGGATAGTTACAGCCTGAGGTGGGAAGTACAGTGCCTGCACTTGAAGGATGGGGGGGGATGTTACAGTCTGGAGGTGGGAAGTTCAGTGCCTTGCACACTGAAGGATGGTGTGGGGATGTTACAGTCCTGGAGGTGGAAGTACCAGTGCCTGCACTCTTGAAGGATGGGTGGGGATGTTACGGCAAGTCCTGGAGGTGGGAAGTACCGGTACTGCACTCTGAAGGATGGGTGGATGTTACATTCCTGGCGGTGGAAGTACAGTGCCTGCACACTGAAGGAAGTGTGGGGATGTTACAGTCATGGAGGTGGGAGTACAGTGCCTGCACCTCTGAAGGAATGGGTGGGGATGTTACCAGTCCTGGAGGTGGGAAGTACAGTGCTGCACATGAAGGGATGGGTGGGGATGTTACAGTCTGGTCGGTGGGAAGATAAAGTGCTGCAACTCTGAAGGATGACGTGAGGATGTTACAGTCTGGAGGTGGGAAGTACAGTGCCGGCACTCTGAAGGATGGGTGGGGTGTTACAGTCCTGGAGGTGGAAGTACAGTGACAGCACACTGAAGGATGGGTGGGGATGTTTCACTCCTGGAGGTGGGAAGTACAGTGCCAGCACTCTGATGGTTGGGGTGGGGATGTTACAGTCCTGGAGGTGGGCAGTACAGTGCCTTGCCACACTGAAGGAATGGGTGGGGAGGTTACAGTCCTGGTGGTGTGGAAGTACAGTGCCTGCACCCGAAGGATGGGTGGGGATTGTTTACATTCCTGGAGTGGAAGTAACAGTGCCTTCACACTGAAGGATGGTGGGGATATTACAGTCCTGGGGTGGGAAAGTACAGTGCCTGCACACTGAAGGACTGGGTGGGGGGATGTTACAGTCATGGAGGTGGGAGTACAGTGCTGCCACACGAAGGTTGGGTGGGGATGTTTCTGGCCTGGAGGTGGGAAGTACAGTGCTGCACACTTGAAGGGGTGGGGATGTTACAGTCCTGGAGGTGGTGAAGTAAAGTTACCTGCCATCTGAAGGATGGGTGGGGATGTTACAGTCCTGGAGGTGCGGTGGGGAAGTACAGTGCTGCACACTGAAAAGGATGGGTGGGGCTGTTTACAGTCCTGGTAGGTTGGGAAGTCAGTGCCTGCACACTGAAGGATGGGTGGGGATGTTATAGTCCTGGAGGTGGGAAGTACAGTGCCTGCACACTGAAGGATGGGTGGGGATGTTACAGTCCTGGAGGTGGGAAGTACAGTGCCTGCACACTGAAGGATGGGTGGGGATGTTACAGTCCTGGAGGTGGGAAGTACAGTGCCTGCACACTGAAGGATGGGTGGGGATGTGTTACAGTCCTGGAGGTGGGAAGTTACTGTGCTGCAACTGAGGATGGGGTGGGGATGTTACAGTCTGGAGTAGGGCAAGTATACAGTGCCTGCACACTGAAGGATGTGTGGGGATGTTACAGTCATGGGAGGTGGCGAGTACGTGATCGCACTCTGAAGGATGGGTGGGATGTTACAGTCTGGTGGTGGGAAGTACAGTTTTTTGCCCCAGCACTCTGAAGATGAGAGGTGGGATGTTAACAGTCCTGGACGGTGGATGTTCAGTGCCAGCACTCTGAAAGGATGGGGGGGATGTTACAGTCTGGAGGTAGGGAACTACAAGTACTGCACTCTGAAGGATTGAGTTGAGGATGTTACGTCCTGGAGGTGGGAAGTACAGTGCCGCACTATGGAAGGATGAGTGCAGGTTGTTACAGTCTGGAGGTGGGAAGTACGGTGCCAGCACTCTGAAGGATGCATGAGTGAGGATGTTACAGTCTCTGGGGTGGGAAGTACAGTTGCCAGCCTTCTGAAGGATGGGTGGGGATGTTAACAATTCCTGGAGGTGGGAATTCAGTGCCTGCACACTGAAGGATGGGGGTGGGGATGTTATAGTCCTGGAGGTGGGTGTACAGGCCTGCGCACTGAGGATGGGTGGGGATGTTACAGTCCTGGCGGGGAAAGTACAGTGCCTGCACATGAAGGAATGGGTGGGGATGTTACAGTCCTGGAGGTGGAAGTCAGTGCCTGCACATGATGGATGGGTGGGGATGTTACAGTCCTCATGGAGGTGGGAAGTACAGTGCCTGCACACTGAAGGATGGGTGGGGATGTTACAGTCTGGGAGGTGGGAAGTAGTAAGTGCCTGCACACGAAGGATGGGTGGGGGGATGTTACAGTCC